GCCTCCAGTTTCGGATGCTGGAGAACGGCGCGAGGGGATTAGTTGTCCTGGGTCCCCCGCGTCGACAACATGCGACGGGAGTGGGACGGGGGGGGCACTCGTACAGGTGCCCACGACAGGACCCTCGTCCAGGCCATTGACCAAAAAAGCTACTGTCCGGATAACTAAGATCGAGACGATCAGACCGGACCTTTTTGTGTTCGGTCGTCCAGAGCTCCGGAGTGGGGGCTCGGTCGCAACCGAGGGTACGGCTGCGGACGGTGGAGAGGAAACGGTTATTTTTGATTCAAGTGCGGTCTCCTCGATGTTGGCGGAGACGCGACCTGCAGAGGCAGATATTCCAGCGGGACTAAGACGGGTAGTTACGGAGGCGCAAATAGACATTGGAGCCACAACTGCGGCAAAGCCTAGTAGCGAAAAAAGACGGAAGAGTGCTCCGGGCTCTCCTGTGGCAGACTCGGATCTGCAATTTGTCTCTAGATTTACAATCGGAGAAACGGACAGACCGACTACAGCGGGTACAGGAGATGACGTGGAGATCATGTCATACGAATCGGGCACAAGTGTGAGAAGAAATTCTAGCTCCTCGGGTACAGAGCGTGTTAGAAGAAGAAATTCAAGTAGACCGACGAGAAAGGCGACGAAGAGGCCAAGAGTCTTACAGAGCTCGCCGGATGCGGACGATGCGGAAGATGAAGAGGAAACGACTACCCCTAGGACTAGTACTCTAAATGAATCGCAGAGGAAGGCAGTCAATCTACATATGAGACAGGTGGAGAAATTGTCGACCTCAGAGATGGTTGCCCAGGCCACGGAGTGGTTAAATGAAATGGATGACTGTAGAGAAAAGTCAAAAAATATAAAAGGTGACTTGTCCCGTAAAATGAAGGTCAACACTGAGGCGGTCTCGCAGGTCCTGAGAGTGTTGTCAATGAGGGCCTCGATGGAGGGAGACATTGGGTTCCTTAGAACCAAAATTCAAGAGATGCAAGCGGAAATGACCAACTTAAAGGAAGAAAATGAAAGACTGAGGCTACAAATGGAGGATTTCAGAAGCGGAACAAATGTGATGGGAAGTGGACCCATGGCTGACCCGCCACCCCCACCAACACGCCTGGAGGCGTCTCCAAATACGATGCAGATCTCTCCGGAACCCCCGAGAGGACTGAGGAGAAATAGCGAAGAAGAAAGAGAGTCGATCTGCCCCTCTGGGGCTGTTGGTACTACTAGCGTAAGAGAACGCTTGACGCAGAGAGATGGTAATGGAGATGATTTATTCGGCCAGCTAGCCCGAACTATAAGCGAGGCGGTTGTTGGGGCGATTCAATCGCTTTCTTCAAAAAACGGTAATCCGTGCGACATGCCGCGACAACGGAAGGAAATGGCACCAAATCCAAGGAAGCAGTTGGATGGAGTGCGCGGGGATGACCGGGAGCTCCCGCGGACAGTCACTGACCGGCAGACCCGTGCAGTAAGGGAAGATACACAAGGCAGTGACGCCGACTCTGTGTCAAAGAGAAAGAGGAACAAAAACCTCTCCCGCCCCCGACGGGCGAAGAGAAACATGGAGGAGAACGATGCTAGAGAAACCTCGGGCCAGGAGA